AAAAATATATCGATATTTTTAAAAAACTCGATATATCGCCCAGTCCTAGTTCACACCATGAGGCCTCTCGGCCCAGTGACAGGTATCAGCTCCTCAGGACGTCCTCATCAGGGTCCTTTCAAAGTGAAGGAGCAGCAGCTCCACTTACTGGATGTCCGACTTACTCCCCCTGTCTCTAACAGAGACCATGAGCAGAGGAACACTGGGTCTGCTGGACCAACGAGCCTTCAGCTTGTCTTTCTTCGCCTCGTTGCTCCATCATGGAGGGAACTAATGGCACAGAAAGCAGGATCTATAGAAAACAGAATATAACACTATAACCAGAAGAATAAATAACACAGAACATAGAACCAAAATTCAAGATTATCAAAAATACAAAACCAGAAAACACCAAATATCTCTTCAGCCTCTCTCCTCTGTCTTCCCTCTGAGAGCTGAAGATCCAAAAGTCAGCTGGTTTTGACATCAGTCTGATAAAAACGCCAACATCTGCAGAGCTCCAGGTTATCCAGCTGTGCAGTAAGCTAGCCTGACAGCTGGATAACTCTCCTGGGCCTCTGCTGGCTGTTTGTCTTAGATTCACTCCCAGATTTGACTTATGAGCTCACTGAGCACATGGGCCGGGTGCTGGTGTAAGTGGGAGCTCATCCGGGATCCACATACAGGGAGACCCAGGTCTGCGTCAGGTACAGTGTGTTCATGTGTGTGTTAATGTTGTGTTCAGGGTAACTCTGGTCTGGGCTTCAGTATTGCGGGAGGAACCGACAATCCTCACATCGGAGACGACCCCTCCATCTTCATCACCAAGATCATCCCCGGAGGAGCCGCTGCCCAGGACGGACGCCTCAGGTGCACACACACAGAAACATGGACACACACAAACAGACACACAAACACACACAGACTCTTTGCTTGTGTTTTCTGAGGACATGAAGCTGAGCCTCTCACCTTTAAAGGACCTAAACCTGATCACACCTGAGCCTTCAAACAGCTGTTTGAGGAGGTGACAATGACTCTCTCTCTCTTCATCACCAGGGTGAACGACAGCATCGTATTCGTCAACGATGTGGACGTCCGGGAGGTCACTCACTCCATCGCTGTGGAGGCGCTGAAGGAGGCGGGGCCTGTTGTCAGGCTGTACGTGCTGCGGAGACGCCCACCGAGCGAACGCATCACACAGATCAAACTGATGAAAGGACCCAAAGGTGAGGCAGGAGAGGTGTTCAGCTCTTATGTAACTGTGATTCCAGCTGCTCTGCCGCCCTCTGCTGGACTGTTAGAGTCATTACAGTTCTTAAATATTATTGTGTCAGCTACAGAAGAATTAGAGACATGACAGAGGCTTCATACACGAGATTCACCTTTACACTGTGATTCCTCAGCAGGTCCACGTACTGTAGTGATGTTTAATAAACCTGTTATAAATAAAGTTTGGTCAAACAGGAAGCAGAGCCTGCCTTAAACACACCTGAACGTGTCACCTCATATGGAGCCTGTCACACCTGGAGATTTATTACTTTGTATATTTTTAACATTTTGTGACGCGCTCATTACGTCAGTAAAATATTTTAGTTCATCACCTTTTTAATCTGTAAACGTTGTTTCCCATGAGTCAGTTTGATCTTCATCACTCGCTGTGTGTTTTGTTGATCTAACCCCGCCCCCGGGTGCAGGTTTGGGCTTCAGTATAGCGGGCGGCGTGGGGAACCAGCATGTCCCTGGAGACAACAGCATCTACGTCACCAAGATCATCGAGGGCGGGGCGGCACACCGTGACGGGCGGCTGCAGATCGGAGACAAAATCCTGGCGGTACGTAACATCACACGTGTTCTCTCTGACACGCTAAACTGATGTGACTGTGGTCTAACGTGAGGCTCCGCGCCCGGCAGGTCAACCACATGTCTCTGGAGGACGTCCTGCACGAAGACGCCGTGTCAGCCCTGAAGAATACAGGAGAGGTGGTCTACCTGAAGGTGGCCACGCCCACCTCGCAGTACATCCACCCAATTGATCGATACAGCCCCCCCGACCTGACCAGCTGTAAGTACACCTGTACAGCATCACACTGACTAGACCTGCTCACAGGTTGATTACAGTGATAATACTACAGTAATATTGTAAATAATACTGCATATCAGTCGTCTGTACAGATGTGAGTTCGCTCTGAATGATAACTTTAGTTTCCCTGCAGCGCCACCCAGAGGACAGATGTGCACTTTCAGCTCAGACTAATTCTAAACTCCTCAGAAGATGAAACCAGGACACAGTCAGGCTTTAAAATGACTTAAATTAGGTTTTCCTTCAGCGGGAGAAGCTCCAGGAATGTTTGATCCTATCAGGCTTTGATCCTGATGCAGGTGAACTCAAGACTCAGACTCAGAGGAAGGTCCAGGATGTTTGCTTTGCTATGGATAAGATTATCATTAATAACAGATTCATCCAGAATAATGTGTCAAACACACAGTCAGCAACCAGTTAAACCTGTGATCCAGATGTTAGACCTGTCACTGTTCCAGATGTTAGACCTCTCCCTGATACAGATGTCAGACCCATGACCCTCACCCAGATGTTAGACCCGTCCCAGATCCAGATGTCAGACCCGTGACCCTGATCCAGATGTTAGACCCGTGACCCTGATCCAGATGTTAGACCCGTGACCCTGATCCAGATGTTAGACCTGTCCTTGATCCAGATGTTAGACCTGTGACCCTCATCCAGATGTTAGACCCGTG